TGTTGGAAGGGGCTCTATCTTATAACCCCCCAATTCGAAAAAGCGCGTTCCAGCCCTTCGATCGTTTTTTGATCCAACCCCTCCCTTCATTGCAACATTGCTCTCGGGAGCTCTAATTGAATAAGTTAATATGGTATGTTCCGTATTAAAATATTAGGAGTTGGCCTTTTTTGCGCTGATATCATCTTTTCCCGAGGTGTCATCATATTTTTATAGTAACACAATAGGCCTTTCCGGATCAGGGTGCCTAATGGGATGCTTGAGAGGGCATGCTTTGATGCACTAGGGTGCTCGAGTATCATACCTTGGGTAGACTAATTTTGGTATGATATGGTAAGATGATCACTCGAGTACATGGGTTTTGCCGAGCTCAACTTGTCCCTGAGCCGCCCTCAAATTTTTCATAGTTGCACTTGGATATCTTGGACAACTAAATTGAGAGAATCTATCTGGCACAATTAGTGATTCGGGACAGCAGGTCAAGTCTTGTTGTAAAGTAAATTTTATCTATTTATTTCTTTCGAGCTCACAGCATTCTGCGCGGGGCGGCAAGGCCATTCATTGTGGAAAAGCGCTGGCAACCGTCGGGCAGGTACCGGTATTGATTTCTTCCGTCATCCTTTGAGGGGGTGGAGAGACAGGCGAAATTGTGTCGGCATTTTGTTGGCTGCGATTTAGGCATGCTTTTCATAGAGGTTTCACTTCTTTGATATCCTGCGCGAAGTGCATGGTGCTTTCGTCTAACCCTCTTGGATGGTGCAAGATCCGCGCTTGTGCAACCTTTGTCAGTGCACTTACTCGAGTACAATATCACGCAGATGCATACGGTACTGTACTCAGAATGGAAATACTCGTACATTGAGCAAAATACTTGTAGGGATATAAATAGGGAATCTCGGCAATCGTGAAATTGACATCATGGAAAAGAAAACAAGGGTAGTGGAGAAAGTTGAAATCCCCGAGCAGTTGCATCCCGCGCATTGTTTGGGGCCAGAAGTTACTGCTACAAGTATCGTATGGTTAAAAGACTTTCAAAGTTCCGAATCCCTAATAACCCAATTCCCCACCAAACTTTAGAGACCCAGATTTGGAAAGGAAAAAATGGAGAATCATCGGTCCCATGTTATGCCTACCGAGGGCCGGATACGGTAGGGTTCTTGGGGACTCCAAGTTGCCGATCATTCCTACGAGTACAGGTACTGTACAGTTCTGGCCAACTCACTACTTCAATGCAACGACAGGGTTTCTTGGGGAACTCGATTTTTACTTCCATCTCCGAGTACCCGTTACCGGTAGTCGAGTAGTGTACCAGTACTCGCGTATGACCAGCAGTCAGTGCGCATCAGTGCGCCAATACAAAAACTTCAAAGTCCTATGTTCGCTTATTTCTTGCCTGTCCCGTAAAGACTTTTGGAATCCACTACCGCTATCTTCAGCCCCCCTGTAATCTCTGGATTCTGAATCAAGAGCTCCTGAGAAGGATCAGCGTTTTCCCGACACGGTATGGGATCGGCCAGTGGGACGTGTTGGACCAGTCAAACTAAACCTATCTTGGGCTGACCGGCAGATTTTCGCTGACAATCTGATAGTGGATTCCAAGAGTTTTTACGGGCGCTCGGGTAACGAGTGTTTGGGCTTCAGAGCGGATGGCCCAATTATCAGGTTTATTGAGGTAGTTCTTGAACCGCCAATCCCTATTGGGGTTTTCCGTATTCCATTGTTTTCTACTCGCTGGCCTTGCTTGACAGGGATATTGGTCTTGCGGCTTTTTATGAAGACACCCTGGGCTAGCTAGTTATCGTACCAGATTTGGAGTACCTTAGAAGTTCCAACAATTGGGACCCGCATGGCGAATCCCACCCGATAACGCGGTGTGAGTGGGTGTCTGGAGAAGGCGTGCCTGCGAAAGCCCTACTGAAAAGATGCTTTATTATATAGACACTTGTATTCGCACCCCAATTCAACATATTCGGGTATCTTCTAATTGGGAAGAGGCGTACGTTGTGAAAATTCATCATGCCCCGGTTGCGTCCCACGCGGGATATGGTAGCATATTTTAGCACAAGTTCTAGCACAGGATCAACATCTTCAGGTAAACCACTCTGGTTGCGACTGATTTGAATGCTCTGCGGTATTAACGTTCCCGTCGAAGATCAGGGTGAGCCGCCAAAACAGTTTATCGGACTCTCGAAACTAGACACAAAGGGGAAATCATTTCGATATCTCGATTTCGCAGAAGGTGGCTCTAATGCCGCCCTCAACAAATGGGGCCAGTTTTTGCAGTTTAGTAGGTTAGTGGTGGGTGGGGGTGACACTGAGAGCTGGAATTATATCTCCGTGGAGCCACGAAATATCTTTCGACTCGAACATATCGTGCCAGCGCAGACATCCGACGAACCTGAACAGGAGGAGGAAAACGATACGAGACGGGAGAGGGTTGCGGAAAAAAGGAGAACGCAAGGCTGGGAGCCGGATAACCCAGAGTGGAAGCCTAGTATATACTACTATAGCGATTACCCTGCGTATCCACGAAGACACGATAAATTCAGTGCGCTTTGCATGAAGAATCAGGGACTAGGGCTTCGATTCTCAGGTAATACTAACATCTCAGAACCCGAACACTACTACAGGAACGATAGATGGCCAGAAGTGCGCTACACCGTGGAAGGGAAAGTTAGGGTCATCCTACAGCATTATATTCGGGATGGCGAGATTATTCAAGATATGTGCTTGACCTCGGAATCTGGCGAGGAAACAGAGCTTACTCTGGAATTTGAGTTCACCACTGGAATCCGGATGGCCATTTGGGACATGAGCCGGCCGAAGGGCGGGGGTGAGGATGCTCCCAACCATTCTCTGGAGCAAGTGCCAGAAGGGGAAGCCCCGGGATCCCACTGGAAGATCCGGCGCGGTAAATATTACGCCACGGCAAGCCTGTTCAAAGATGGGAAACCGAGGTCGATTAACCTCCTCGGGGGCGACAAACAAAATTCCATGACCACGTGCGACATTAGCATTCTTTCAGACGATCCAGTAAGGCATCACGAGACTTTCATATTGAAATCGAAGGCAAAGGTGAAATTTACCTCGGTATTCAAATTGGATCACGAAAACGTTCCCGATATCCCGCCACAGTATTTCGATATATCTCCTCATTTAGAACCATTCGGCGACCGGTGGTGGAGTTTCAAGACTGAATCCTCGTCGTTTATTTTTAGGCGAAATCTTGAGACTATTCTCTCGCACGCTATGCCACTGCCTTGGGTCGATGGTGAAACACATCAGCCCTATGTTCTGCACAATCATGATCTCATTGATACATGCCAGACATGGAGTAGTTCTCTGTAAGCCGCCAAAACTCCACTTATTAACCTTCTTAAAAAGGTCTAACAAGATGCAGGGACCAGGTTTTTTATCTCCTCGAAATTGATAAGGTACTACAACAAGAGAATACCGCGGATCAGGTAACAAAGTCCCACTACCGTGAGAGGATTCGAGAGGCAATTTTTGGATACTTTGCTTGGGTACTACGACATGCCGAACGAAACGGCTTTCCTGAGACGGTTCTTTTGTACTGGTCTGGGAAGATTGTGCCGCTCGCGAAAGGGGATGAGGCTGGGGAGCTTGTAGTGGAGGTAAAGAGTGAGGAAGAGACAGATGTCCTGAATGGACCCACGGAGAAACCCACTGAGTCTAAGGTCGCAGAGCCTGTGGAGCTAGTCGCAGCTCCTATAACTAAGATAGATTCAATAGGGTCTAAAACGGGCCCTTCGTTATCTGTAGGGGCACTAGGATCCACCAGCGGTCTTGAGAATGCGAGCGTGTTGGACCCCGGAAAGAACCAGGGGTCCGCCGACTCCCCCCCTCTGAGCCCCTTCGAGCCAGAGCTATCAAAGTACGAAGATAAATTCCGGAATTGCTGCCAGTTCCTTGTTTTGTTGGATACGTGCTTGACCAACTATCCTGAGGAGAAGCCTCTGATCGCTCGGATGGTGGAAGCTTTTCTAAAGCTAGCTTGGGAGCCAATTGAGATGAGCAAGCATCGGGGATCTCGTCTATGGCCGGATCGGTTAGATATCCTGGAAGGATTCTCACCGCCGGACGCCCGACCCCTGGACTCGGAATCTGGATATGTTACGAATGCGCAACCCCAGGACTCGGGAGACGCTAAGGGTTGTGGCTACGGTGGACAGGGTACCTATGTCTATACTATCACGACCCAAGTTCTTGTCTGGAGGGCCGCTAGGTCTGCAAATAGGCTACTTGACTTGGTTTCCGGCGACCGGGATTGGAGTGAGTGGATGGATGAGCAAAGTTTAGGCGACGAGGCAATTAGAGATCGAACATTAGAGGCTTTCCGCTACCTTGACACTGACACAATCTCCGGTAATCCTCCAGATCATCTACCTTCAACAATTTCAGGACATATTAGAGAGCTCTCGGTGGACCGATGGAGTTGCGATATCGCCGTTCCATCATTTGTCGAAGATTTCTTCTTCGACGATGGAAATGAGCCGATAGCTGCTTGGATAGGGACACTCAAACGTTACCACATCCCCAGTGGCTCTAGCGAGGCAAACATTTTAGAATCCTTTATGTCCTACAAACTTGCGGTCAATGCACCTTCTCGTCGGTGGCTGCGCGAGGATTTGGAGGCGAGAACTTATTCAGCTGGGCTTTTTTCTGATGGCGCGGTTACCCCTGGTTCCCATTGTCCTTACACCCCAGCTTGGGAAATAGTTACACATGTCCTTAGTGCAGATCATGCTGAATTGCTGTATCCTCAGTTCCAAATCCCGAGGTAGGCTAGACCACCAGTTTATGCGACATATAATTCAAGGGGCTTCAACCACGAACTAACGTTTCCAATTAAAGAACTACAGATCGTTCCCGCCACACACGGCTATACTCCGCGCGTCTGCCGGGGACAGGTAGAACTGCTAATGTCGGTCAGGATGGTAGAAAGCGAGGAAAGTGGAAACGCTTCTATATCACCGCAAAGGACCGTCGTCAAGTGAACGACCCACCTTGTAAGTGGCTTTCAAAATTTCTAGCGATATTGTGCTTGTTCTGATCGAAGTAGCGTATGGAGAGTGGTACTGGTTCAGAGAGCCACTCTTCATGAGACACAAACAGAAGAAGTTCGAAATTACTAAGAAATCCATAGAAACCTTTTTGCAACAGGGAAACAATTGGAGCCGTTTTTGGGAAACTAGCCAGGGCAAGGCCAACTTTATGAACAATATGGCAGATATGTCAGATTATGACTGGGGAAACAAACAGAACATTGTTATCCAACCATATAGAGACGAAGAGTCCAATTTCTTTCACGGGAGTGGCGGGCTATTGAGGTTGCAGGAGCAGGTATGAGAAACAAGCTCCCTATAGTAGTGAAAATGGTTCACCGACTGTTTGGAGGCAGAGGGATCGCAAAGTGGATAAAAAAAGGATAATGTTCGTACCTATCTATCTACCCCCACTTGCCGTATGTGCAAACCAGAGTCCCATCTGACAGTATGATATAGAGTCGTGGGAGACTGCATGATCGAGCATCTAATCTCCCTTATGGCCATCATAGATTTTCAAGAATCAAGCCATATAGGTGAATTTCTCTCCCGGCTGCGTCTCATGGACCCTCACGAGATGAGATTTTCAGAGCAGGTATGTCAATCCGCCTACCCCTTCCACAAAATTCCCCTACAATGACTAACATCTTTGAAGACAATCATGCCAGAAAATCTCTGGATTACAGAATTTAACATCAATTTCATCACAGCTCCGTCTCGCGCTGATGCGGAGTCGCCCCCCCTGCCAAACTACTTTCCGAGGAGACGTGCAAAGTTCCTGAGTATGAACAACGTTGCGCCTGCCCGCATCATGGCAGAGGCCGCCATGGGCTTTCGAATTATCGGTGACCTGCATGACCGGTACTGGACCTGCTATGTGTTTTATGACTTCGGAAACCCAGAGCTCAAGTCGGATGCTAGGACTCAAGTCAGACAGGGGGGTTATGGTAACTCTCCGAGTCAGCGAAAGTGCCTCGAGGGGTTTCTCGTGTGTCAGGCTCTCGATCTGGTACTCTCGGAGACCAAGACTATCCTAGATACTATCACTAAATCTATGGGGGAGGACAAAGTAGGTTAATTGATGGGGAAAGTGTTAACGGTGTTATGCATATGCTGATGAAATTTTTGATCAAAATAGAAATCGCAAGCACTTTTTAACCTATTACTCACGGAAGATGACCTCAGAGGGGAGAACTATTTCAAAACCATGAACAAGAATAGTGTATTCTATCCTTGGCTACTTGAAGTTTGTGGTGCTCTGCAGGATAAGTGTAGTAAGAGCCGTCGTGTTGCGGAGCAGTGGTTATCAGCAGAAAAGACACGCGAATACCAGCCTCGGTGGTCCGAAAAGGACCAAAAGATCTTCGGAGAGGAGGTTGCTCAGAACCGAGCGGATGTGGAGGCGCGCTGTGCTATGCTCGAGAAAATGGAGAACAACCTGAAGGAGCGGAGCGACTGGATTAAGACTCTTAAGGAATCTGTAAGCATCCCACCATGGCTTGATGGCGTTTCCTGGGAAGAGGTGTGCTGACGGTGAGATTAGCTGTCTAGTGAGCTAGAACTTCGAGAAGCGAGAACCTCTACACAGCTCGGACACACGGTGAACCTTTTTGCTGTTGTTACAACTATTTATCTGCCCTTAACATTTTCTACCGTACGTCCCTCCCCTCCCTTAAGCTAACGGCAAATATATTGACTTGGCGCCCATAGAGTATCGTGGCTATTCAGGATTTTAATTGGCCATCTCCTTCAAAAGCTCTGATCAAGATCGCGCTCCCCGTCACCTTCGGTACCCTAATCCTCCTTATGAATCTCGCCTTCCTCCGCCGTAACCTCGCAGCCCTGAAAGCCTGGGCTCAGCTCTCAATCCGCCGGAGAATGGCCGGAGCTCCCGAGCCTAAAAGCTCTAATAAAGAGCCCACCTACCAAGAAGAGCGGCCGGCCTGGAAGTGCTGGGAAGAGCGGGCCCACGGCCTCCGCGAAGCGGAGAAACGCAGCACGCTACTCACGAACAATGATATTTACGACAACGGAAGCGACTGGTGGTACTGGTACTTTATGGCGATATTCATCATCATCGTGGTTCCCGTACAAGAGCTAACCTTCATAATCCGTACGCTCCGGCTGCAGAAGATCAAAAGGGCTGGACCCCTGAAAAAGTTTGTGAGGGTTCCCTTGGCCCCCATATGGGTTCTGCAGCTGGCGTTTGTGTACGTGATCATGCTCGCTGGCTATGCCTTCCTCTCATTGGTAGGATTGGTTCATCGCACGGCAGTCTGGTTGTGGACTGGGGATGACATTGTCGAAGATAAGAAGGACGCGCCGTATGAGGTTGAGAAGAGTTTCATCTCGCAGCTGGAGGGGGATAAAGAGATCTTGAGGACCAAGCCGGATTGTACGCAGAAAGGTAGAGGGTTGGTTGGTTGGTTGATGAAACCGGCGAAGACTATGCAGCTCCTAATCGTTGTAGAGGCACTCCGGTCCAAGAAGGAAAAGGAATTTGATGCGGAGGAACAAGGGATCACTGTGGCAGCTATGAAGGCCCTTCACTCTACTTAAGAAATGGGTAGTTGGAAGACGGGATGTGGGAGGGGCTAAGTGCCCCGGTTTGTTATAGTGGTAAGAGGGCCGCCCGTATCATTTCCCCGGGGCGGGAGCGGTTGTTGGGCTTATTTTTGTGGATTAGTTGGGTATTCTGCATGATAAATTATTTCTACGCACACGCACAGTATCCTTTTTTTTCTTTCAGCTTACTATTTGTTTCTGGGAGATGCCTGTGCATGTTGAACTTAGTGCTTTTCCGCCATACAATCTAGTATCATTCCTATGCAACATGCTCCTTACACTGCTTTCATTTTCTCGTCTATTTGTCAGTTCATTCTCAACATTCCATACCTTACTCAACTATGGTATGTCTCCTTTTTACTTCATATTCATTCCTCTTATTTCTTTTGCCTTTTTCTTCTTCGCCTCTCAGATCATGTTGCCAATTTTTGCCTTTTATTTTGTCTTCTCTTTATGTTTTTTTTCTTCCTCCCGGATTGAGGATATAAACCCGTGAGAGTCCATGTAGTCAAAAATCAAGCTTCACTCCGTTTCTCTTAAACTCGTCAATAGTGTACGCGAGTGATACCCTGTGATTTATAGCTAACTCTGAATTGACGATTTTGATTTTATGTTCCCCTTTCCTTTACCCACATGTCATATATATCCATTCACTCAATCCTGAATTCACCACGATGAGGGCATGTGGAAACCTCCGCCATAGTGCTAATACCGACTAGTTCGCGACACCAAAAACTTCCAAAGCCGACCCAAGCCGTGATATTCCTCCCTCACCATCTTACGCGTTACGATACACAATGAACAATACTCTCAACTTTTTTATTCTAGAGCGTATCCTCCACCAATTCGGGTTCCCAGCTCCATGTATAGTACCTTTGAGATGGTCTTCGGGGCCCGGGCGCACGCCGTGGCGCTTTGCCGGGGGCGCCGGAGAGCCGGGGATGGCGGAGACTATGCTCCCATAACATGTACCGGGGGTAAAACCCGAGGTGATACTGTCTGCGCGATATGAGCCTTGCTACATTATAATCCCCCTGGCTGGCTGAGCTAGTCACTTGTTAGCGTGTCTCGTTTCTTGATTTTTTAGAAAGCTCTGGTTGAAGTTGAAGAGGAGATGATAACGAATGAGTGAGATACATCGAATGGAACCCCCGGCTACACGAAGCCAACGCTGTATTATCACAAAACCATGCCCCCATTTTTAGCAACACTCCCAATTTTAAATATCACACTGTTGGTTTTTATAGGAGTTACTGTTTGGGTGTCACAGTCGTGCTACTGGAATTTACCCTGTTGGTACTGGGGGGTGAGTGGGGTTCGATGATGTGCGAGTGCTAGGCTATGACCGGGCATTAGGGGAATCATAACGGGAGATGCGAGGACGTTGATAGAATGCTGTGATGAGTTGGAGTGTTTGAGACAAATTTCTTTTGCGTTGGTTAATTCAGCAGACAGTTGATTTTGGAATTTGAAGGAAAAAAGGATGGGGGTCTGTGGTGGATGGGCGAGAGAGATGATTTTTTTGGTGTAGTTACTCCTTGTTTTTCAACATATCTTGTGGGTTGGTATGAGAGGCAACGTTGGTTCCAAGAAGCGGTAATTATCTCTCTACTTTACCTGTTCATTTCCATTACATCATTTCGCAGGGCCCACATTTGTCTTCCGTGAGCCTTAGACTAATTTATATTAATATTGTTCCCAAGACCCCCGGTAATCTAGCACACGTGATTCTCAATTAACAACTCACCTCACCTCACCCTCCACTTCGGTCCCCCCTGCATGAATGCGGTGATATGTGGAGCGTTGGTAGGTGATGGGGTAGTGCAATTGTGCTTTTCACATCAGGGTGCCGAACGCGGTGCTTGAGAGGATATGATTTGAGATGGGTGGGCGCGTGTGTGGTTTCATGTGATGTGGTACAATATGTGCTGTGTATTGTGTGGGATGGGAGAGTTAGATTGTTAGTGATGGGGGGATCTAGCAGTTGGGGGGTGGGCTTTGAGAATGAGTGGATGCTAGGAATTGAAGTGGGCTTCTGGGCCATTAATACGCTTGTTTTGTCAGTGGAGCTGTGCCTCCACCGGTGCTCTCGGGCCGCCAGATTGTAGTCGTGATTTTTTGTTTGGTGGTGATGTGTGGAGAGGGAGGGGTATCTTCAATTGGGTACTTGGAGGCACTTCGGGGCTTTGAGTTTCGCGGTCGCGGCTCGTTATCTTGGACCACTAAAATCTAAAGGATCTATCCGGTGCGACGAGTGGTTCGGGGCAACATGCCGAATTTTGCTGTAAAATAATATTATGATATATCATAAAAAGCTTTTGAGTCTCCGCAGCATTTCTAGGCGGGCCAACGTGGTCCAGCTGCGGCCCACCCCGAGTTCTGCAGAAACGCCGGCAACCTTCAAGTATTTGATTTTCCCATCATCATTTGAGGGGAGGTGAGACTGTCTGAGTATTTTTGTTGGTTATAATACGAATCGGGCATGTTTTCGCCAAGGTTTCACATTTTTGACCGAATATTTGGCTTCCGCAACCGCAACCACACGCAACATCGCAACCCCTCTCCCTCACTCCCTCACCCCGCTATAGTCTACCTTTACCATAATATGTAACAAAACACTCCCGGTATACAGACAAGAAGTTGATCAGGATTATATATTTATTTCGTTTTGAAGTATTTCTCGGTTGTGGTTTTGGTGGTCAAGTATTGCGAAAGAAGTAGTCTACCGGTGTGGGAGGTTTGATGTGCCTTCCCTTAGTTGGATAGTGTTTTGACAGAGCTGTGCTTTGTGGGAATAATGCCCTGTGACCTGACCAATAAACCGATGGATGGAGGAAGGGAATGTTGACTTGGATCCAGGCGTCGTACGGTACTGTACTGTACATGTACGAGATTGCCCTCTGGGTATGATACTCTGTTTTGTTTTTTCTGCTCAATACATATAAATTTTTTCTTTTTCCACTTTGAATCTATATCTGGCTGATGAAAATACGACTTTGAACACATTTCTTTCGCCCATTCATGGCGTTTTGCGCCGTCCCTTGTCAACCTGTGTTAAGGTTCTGCGAAATCTAGCCCAGCTGGAAACTCAGAAAAATTGGTTGTTTCGGGGAAGTGTTGCGGTGGTGAGATATGGGGACTTGGGGATGATGGGGCGTGCTCCTGCATCACGCAAGCTACCGCATCCATATCAACAATTTCTACTCGTACAGAGAAATTTATGCTGAAAACCAGCTTTATGGAAAATGAGATAGGGTTTTTATTCCCTGGTTGGTTGTTCATGTAACAATATTCTTATTCTTACATGCGTATTGCTAAATTTGGGGTAGAGGCTCGAACGATTGCACCCGGTGGACGAATCTGCCGGATCGCGCGGTATAGGTAGGGATCTGGAGAATGGGCGCTTGCGAAAGTCTTGCTGTAAATATTGTGATATTTTATTATAAGCAATTCTGCGTATCCTGGTGCCTTCCATCAGAAGAAGTACATTTGTGGGAGTATAACCATAAGCTCACCAATAAATACAGCCTCTATTGGGCAGTGCGATAATATGCTTTTAAGAATATTCTACTAGAAAGAGGTTAAACATTATTTGAGCGGAGAGCGAGAGCTGCTGGTCTTGTTACCGTAAACATTGATTCGGGGCACAAACTGCTTTCCTCAGGTTTCAGTCCCATACAACTCTCAAAGCACATGGCGCGATTATCCTGGTTTTTACGGTATTCCTTGTATCACCAATCCCTATTAAGGGTTTCTCTATTCGTTTTTTTCTACTCTCTAACCTTGCAGGACAGGGCTCTCAATCTTTCCCATTTACGGAGACACCGGAGTTTGTTACCAGGTTTGGTGTACCCTAGAAGCTCTAGCAATAGGACACTCATGGCGGGTCCCCACGGTCGGTGCGGTATAAGTAGATATCTAGGGAGCCTGCGAAAGCCCAATTGTAAAAAACATTGACATTTTATTATACGTATTTCCACCACTATCTCACACACCCAGACACGCTCAACAAGGGAGACCCCTACTCCGCGAAAGTCCACCATGGACCGACCACCATCTCCTCCCTCAAACCTTGTAGAAATACAAACCACGGACCGACCTCCACCGCCTCCCTCAGCCTTTGCAGAAATAGGTTCATGCACAGGATCAAGATCTCGAGGTAAGCCACTCTTGTTGTGACTGATCTGAGGGCTTTCTGGTGTTAACACACGGACCAAAGATGAATCACAGAGTGAACAGGGTGAAAAACAGTACATTGGGCTCACAAAGCTAGACACCAAGGATCAATTATTTCGATATCTCGATTTCGCTGAAGGTGGCTCTAGCGCCGCTCTCAATAAATGGGGCCAATTCTTGCAGTTTAGTAGGTTAGTGGTGGATGGCTCCGTGCCTCATAGATGTGATTATATCTCGGTGGAGCCACGGAATATCTTTCGACTCGAACGTATTGCGCCAGCCCAGAAATCCCACGAACCAGAACCGGAGGAGGAAGACAGGGATGGAAGGGGTGGGATTTCAGAAATCGAAATCCTGAGAACCCTAGGCTGGGAGCCGGATAACCGGGAGTGGAGACCTAGTGTCTCGTTTTATAGCGATAACCCTGCCTATCCACGGAGACACGATAAATTTAATGCACTCTGCGTGGGGAATCAGGGACTCGGACTTCGATTCTCGAATAATACCAACATCTCAGAACTTGAGCACTACTACAGGAACGACAGGTGGCCAGAGGTACACTACACCGTGGAGGGGAAAGTCAAGGTCGTCCTACAGCATTATATCCGGGATGGCGAGATTATCCAAGATATGTGCTTGACTTCAGAATCTAGCGAGGAAACCGAGCTCAGTCTGGAATTTGAATTTACCACGGGAATCAGGATATCATCTGGGGAATCGCCCGAACCAATGGGTGGGGGGGGTAGTGCTCCCGACTATTTTCTGCAGCGAGTGCCAGAAGGAGAAGACCTAAGATCTCACTGGAAGATCCAGTTCGCCAATTATTACGCCACGGCAAGCTTATTCGAAGATGGTAAACCGAAGTCGTTCAGCCTTCTCGGGGATGGCAGACCAAATGACATGACCAAATTTGTCATTGACATCCTTTCGGATGATCCAGTAAGGCATCACGAGACTTTTATATTGAAGCCGGGGGCGACGGTGAAATTTACCTCGGTATTCAAATTGGATCACGAAAACGTTCCCGATATCCCGCCACAGTATTTCGATATATCTCCTCATTTAAAACCATTCGGCGATCGGTGGTGGGGTTTCAAGACTGAATCCTCGTCTTTTATTTTCAGGCGACACCTTGAGACAATACTCTCGCACGCTATGCCACTGCCTTGGGTCGATGGTGGAACACATCAGCCCTATGTTCTGCACAATCATGATCTGATCAATATGCATCCGACATGGCGTAGTTTTATGTAAGCCTCCAAGGGCCTTCCCTCTTATTGGTCGGCTTGCGAAGTCCTAACAAGATGCAGAAACCAAGCTTTTTACCTCCTAGAAATTGATAAGGTACTTCAACAGCAGAATACTGCGGATGACGAAACGAAGAGCGATTACCAGAAGAGGATTCGGAACGTAATTTTTGGATGCTTTACTTTCCTGCTTGGAGACGCCGAACGAAACGGCGCTGAGAATGTTTCCCCATATCAGCCGGCAGATCTTGCACTGCCCGTGAAGCCGGATGAGGCTAGGGAAGTCGTGGGGGGGGAGGGGATTGAGGAAGAGAGAGATGGCCTAGCCGGAACCGCAGAGAGCTCCTCCAAGGATAAGGTTGTGGACACTGCGCGACCAGTCGGGGCTCCTGCAGGAGAGGTAGATTCAACGGACCCTCAGAGGGACTCATCGTTTCTTTTAGAGACCCCAGGATCCACCTCCAGCCTTAATGAAACAAGCGCACTGCATCCCGGAAAAACAAAAGATTTTATCGACTCTCCGCCTATGAGACCTATTGAGCCAGAGCTATTTAAGTACGAAGCTAGCTTCGAGGATTGTTACCGATTACTTATTTTGTTGGATAAGTGCTTAACTACCTATCCAGATGAAACGGGTCTTATCACTCGAATGGTGGAATGTTTTCTAAAGCTAGTCTGGCAGCCAATCGAAATGAGCAAGCATCAAGGATCCCAGCTATGGCCGGATCGGTTAGAAAGGCTGGGGGGGTCATCACCGCCGTACGCCCGATTCCGGATGGCGCCGGATAATAGAAATTGTGGCTACGGTGGACAAGGTATCTACGTCTATGATATCATGATACAAGTAGCTATCTGGCGGGCCGTCAGGGCTACGAATAGGCTACTTGACTTGTTTTCCGGGGAACGAGACTGGAGTGAATGGATGGTTCACCAAAGTTTAGACGACAAAGCAATTAGAAATCGGACGATAGAGGCTTTCCTCCAACCTGGCACTGACACGGGTCAAAGGTCTTTCCCTGACCGCTTTATCTCAAAAATTAGAGGCCATGTTAGAGAACCCTTTCGGGAGAAACGGGCTTGTACTATTGCCATTCCATCACTTGTCGACTATTTCTTCTTCGACGACAACAATAAGCCGATGTCTGCCTGGACAGAGACACTCAAATACTGCAATACACTCAGCGACTCTTCCAAGGCACAAACTCCAGACACCTGGGGATCCTTTATGTGCTACCAGCTTGCGACTGACACAGATCGTCAGGAGTTGGGGGAGCGCCTGGAGGCAAGAGCTTATTCAGTTGGGATTTTTGCTAGCGACATAGTTACCCCAAGTTCCCACGGTCTTTGCGCTCCATATTGGGACATAGTTACGCACTTTCTCAGCTCTCATTATGCTCATCCTAGAATTCCAAAGTAAGCTAGACGACCAGTCTCTGGGTTAAACAATTTAAAAAAGGGTATTAACCACGAACTAACGTTTCCAATCAAAGGACAGATACACCTACCGGTACTAACGGGGCACATGGACCCATGCTCCCACAGGAGGGCCTAACAAACACTGGTACAAACCCGGGAACAAGCATCATGGTGGGTGTTCGTCTGGACGAAAAAAAGTCAGGAAGGAAGGGGGAGTCCTTGTATATGACCACTGAGGACCTCCGTCAAGTGAATGATCCACCTTGTGAGTGGTTTTCAAGATCCCCGGCGATATTGTGTTTGTTCTAATTGGTGTAGCTTATGGAGAACGGTACTGGTTTAGAGATCCTCTCTTTATGAAGTACGAGCCGAAGTTCGAAATTAATAGGAACTCCATAGTGAATTTTTTGGAACCGGGATATAGTTTTGTGCGGGGAGATATTGAGGGTAATTGGTGTTGCTTTTGGAAAACTGACGAGGGGCGAAACAGGTTTTTGGAGAGTATAGCAGATATGTCGAATTATAACTGGGGGGATAACAAAAACATCTTAATTCAACCTTACAGAATGATCGAGTTGGATGTTTCTCGCGGGGGTGACGCGTTATTGAGGATGCAGAAACAAGTATGAGAGACAACCCTGCAGTATTCGCATCGGGTTGCTAACTCTTTGGGGGCAGAGGGATCTCAAAAGAGATAAAAAAAGGATCATGTTTGTACCCATCTAACTACCTCCGGATGCTCTATATCCAAACCGAGACGCCGTCTGACAGTTTAACATAGTGTAATGGAGGACTGCGCAATCGAGCATTTAATCTTGCTGATGGCCAACCTGGATTACCAAGAAGCCGGTCATATAAATCAAGTTCTCTTACGACTGACCCTCATGGATTCTCACGAAATGAGATTTGAAGAGCAGGTATATCAATTCTCTTGCTTCTTTGACAAAATTCCCTTATAGTGGCTAACAACTATGAAGACCATTATGCCAGACAATCTCTGGATTACAGAATTCAACATCAATTTTATCACAACCCCATCTCGGCAAGGCGTGGAGTCGTCTCCCCTACCAAACTATTTTCAGAGGAGACAGTCTGAGTTCCTAACGATGAACGACGCCGCGCCAAACTGCATCATGGTCGAGGCTTCCATGGGGTTCCGATTTATTGGCGACCTTCATGACCAGTTCTGGACATGCTATGTGTTTTACAACTTTGGAAGACAGGAACTCACTACAGATACCCGGGCTCGAGTGGAACACATCGACTCTTGTAAGACTCTGAGACAACGAAAGTGCCTAGAGGGGTTTCTTGTGTGCCAGGCTCTCGATCTAGTACTCTCGCAGACCAAAAATGTCCTCAATACTATTACTAAGTCTATGGGGGAAGGCAATGTAGGTTCATAAGTTAGAAACGTGGTAACGGTATTTGCATATGCTGATAAAATGTTTGTTCGAAGCAGAAATCGCAAAATATTTTCATCCCGTTACTGATGGAAGATGACCTCAGAGGGGAGAACTATTTCAAAACCATGAACAAGAATAGCGTATTCTATCCCTGGCTGCTCGACGTTTATGGTGCTTTGCAGGATAAGTGTCGGGAGACCAGTACCGTTGCTATGCGGTGGATATCAGCAGAAGAAAGACGAAAGTATAAACCTCGGTGGTCCGAAAAGGACCAAATGAAGTTTGGGGAAGAGATTGTTCAGAACCGAGCGGACGTTACGGCGCGTTGTGCTAAGCTGGAGAAAATGTCGAAGAACTTAGAGGAGCGGATTAACCGGATTAAGAATCTTAAGGAATCAGTAGGCATCCCCTCCATGGGTCGATGGTGTTTCTTGGGAAGAGGTATGCTGATGGTGATATTAGCTATCGAGTGAGCTAGCGCTCCGAGAAGCGAGGACCTCCACACAACTCGCGCGCACGATTAATCTTTTTGCTGTTGTTACAGCTATTTATTTACCCTTAACGTTCTCCACCGTGCGTCTCTACCCCCTTTCATAAGCCAACGGCTAGTATTTTGACCTAGTACCCATAGAGTATCGTGGCCATACAAGAACTCCATTGGAAATATCCCGCAAAAGCCCTCGTCAGAATCATGCTCGCCGTAGCCTCCGGTACATTAATCCTCCTGATGAATCTTTCCTCCCTCCGCCGCAACCTTGCAGCCCTGAAAAGGTGGGCCCAACGCTCAATCCGCAATAGAATGAAAGGGGTCCCCAACCGCAAAAAGACTAGCAAGAAACCCATCTGCCGAGATAAGCGGCCAGCCTGGAACTATTGGAAAAAGAGGGCCCGCAGCCTAGACGAAGCGGAAAAACGCAGCGCGTTGCTCACCGACAATGATATTCACGGCAACGAGAGCGACTGGTGGTACTGGTACTTCACGGCGATATACATCACCATCGTGGTTCCCGTGCAAGAGCTGACCTTCATAATCCGCACGCTCCGAGGGCAGAAGATTGAGAATGCTGGCCCCTTGAAGAAGCTTGTGAGGCTTCCCGGGTTTCCCATATGGGCTCTGCAGCTGGCGCTTGTGTACGTGATAATTCTCGCCGGGTATGCCTTCCTCTCCTTAGTGAGATTTGTGCATCACACGGCGGTCTGGCTGTGGACTGGGAATGACACCGTCGAGAGTAAGAAGGCAGCGCCGGAGGAGGTTGAGCAGAGTTCAATGTCAGAGCCGGAGGATGATGCAGAGGGTTTGGAGTCAGAGCCGGATAGCACGCAAAAAGATAGCACGCAAAAAGATACAGGGCTGGTTGACTGGTTGATGAAACCAGCAAAGATTATGATGCTCCTCATGGTTAAAGAGGCTCTCCAGCCCAAGGAGGAGGAAAGGGAACCCGATCTGGAGAACCAGGGAACCCCTATGGAACACTAGAGACCCACTCGTTTAGGAAACGGGTGGTTAGAAGTCTAGACGTGGGAGGGGTTTAGTGTTATTTATTTGTTACTATGGAACAAGGGCCCCCGGTCACGTTTGCCTCTGACAAGGGGGAGGGATCGATTTATTGGGCTTATTTCTATGGGCTGGTCGGGAGTGCTAGACGACATGTGATTTTCAAGTGCTTACCATGGGCCCACGCAACAGAGCAAGAAGCATGAGAATGACTAATGATTTCTTCTTTCCTATCATAATATTATGATATTATTATATAAGGCAATATCACTAAATCCTAAGGCTGTGTGCATAAATGCTAGAGCTGTATAATGTGATACCAGTAGTAGGTTAACTATATGATTCTCACATATACGGTTACACCACCTTTTTTCAGCTATCATTTAAGCATAAGAGTCAGTACAAAGATCCTACATGAAATTTAGATAATCGGGCTAGAACCATAGGAAGATGATGTTGTTCAGAGTTTAATTCAGTCGCGACATTTCCAATTGGTATTAGAACATACAAAAATCTGGGAATCAACTTGTGAATAGCACTAGCAGCTCACCGCTACCTTATATTCACTTTCGCAAGACCAAAGAATTATGTAGATCCCGAACTACACGTGAAGCTCAGGGTGGGTGGTGGAGATGAAGTCGTCCCCATCCATCTTGAGACTGCCCCTCATCCGCTTACCAGCCCCATATATCCATTCGTTCAGTCCCAGGTCACCACTATGAGGGCACGGAACCACCTCCGCCATGGTGCTAATACCGACTAAGTAGCATCATAAAAACTTCTAAAGCCGACTCGAACTATGAAATCCCCCCCTTCGCCATCTTATGCGTTACGATACGCAATGCACACAACTCTCAACTTCTATCCAAGAGCGCATTCACCAATATAGCTCCCCAGACCTCCGTGCCTGAGGGCCCTTTTGAAACAATCTTTATACCCCGGCACACGCGTGCCAGCACTTTGTAAAGGGCTCGGGAAAAGTTGAGGACAAGAGAGGTTATACCATGTTGACGATGGAAGCCAGGCTGAAGGATAAGTGATGGTGAATGGGACCGAAGACCACGGACCAAGACTTTATTTTTGCGGGCTATTTTTTTAGGACTGTGGTTGGTCGGTTTATGGGCTTTGTTTGCCGAATCATGGCCTGTACAGTACAATCATGATACGCAAAACGGTAACGTCGAACAACCAGAGTATTTCGATATATATCGTTTAGAATCGTTTGACGACCAGTGGTGGAGTTTCAAGACTTAATCCTCGTCGTTTATTTTCACTAGAAATCTCGAGACTATACTCTCCCACGCTATGCCGCTGCATCGGATCGACGACAAAGACTATCAACCTTATGTTCTGCATGATCGCAATCTGATAAATACGTATTAGACATGGAGTAGTTCTCTGTAAGTCGACAGATAGCTGCCCAGTAATCGAGATCTCAACTCGACCAACGACGGAAGAGCAGTTCCTGCGAATGCTGAGTACAGTACCAACAAGTAAGCCTCCCTAAAGAAGTATCATACTATCCCAAAACCAGCCCGGTTAGTCAAAAATGAAAAAAGACACACCTCCATTCCGATCTACTATAATAATCTCGATATGCCATGGTAATAATACGGATAAACCATTTCGCCATTAAGTCTCCAAGCGTTGTCCCGAATCCCCCCATACCTACCCGATACTGGCTCCGCAAAATTACCCGACTAGTACAATCGCAGCCCAAGAATAATCCCAGGAAATTTTAAAATCACAACCGCATCTGTGGGAAGATGTAGCCCGACAAAAGTACTCAGAAGACCGCTCCTGCCCAATTCTGGGTTTTCTGATTCTAATATCATACGATACAAAGTTATGACAATATCTGGAGTTGTGTTCAGCTACAAAGTTGTGCTGGGCCATAAAGTTGTGTTGAGTCATACAGTTTCTATGGTGAGCCAAAAAGTTGTGTTGAGCCGTAAAGTTATGTTGAGCTGTCAGGCACTCTGGAGGAGTGACCCAGGTTGCGAGAGATTGAGCATCCAGGGGTTGTGGTCACCAGCCACAACCGTGGCACGAGTAAAGGGTTATTGAAAATAAATTTGAAAGTCTCGTGTTCAATTCCTGTTAAGGCTAGCCTTTTTTTGTGATATCTCTCAATTTCAATTCGCCTCTAATTATTTTACGCGGGAAAAACACTTAAAATCTTTCAACCGATTATTCCACATACCATAAGATGGGAGGAAGTTCTCAGAGAGGGGGATGTGGCGTGGTTTATCGACAGCTGGAAGGAAAGGCGAGCGAGTTATTAAACGGGGCCACGGTAGACCGAGATAGAGTTTCCGAGGGACTTTGTCATGGTTACCATCAAACTATACACCTACACCGGTACCAAAATAACAGTACAGTGACACCTCACAGTTCCGGATCTCGAAACTCAGGATACCTTGCTGTCTCGTATAAATCTTTGTGAACTCTGAATTTCTTTCCACCAAAACCTGACCCGTTGTCCCGGTTCCCACGCTGTGCCGGACTGATTCTTCGGACCCCTGCCGGCCGGGATAGCAGGGTGCGACTGTCAGAGGTGATAGAGAAACGGTGCCATAATTGAAGATGCAACCGTTGCAAATTCTAAAGTCCTAACACTACACCACAAGTTGAATACGTTGCTTCAATGTGACGGAAGTATGTTGAGCACGCCAAGTTGGGACTAAGGTCACTGTATATAAATACCTCTCATTGGTATAAGTACTGCTGTCACACCCACAAAGAAATGCAGAAGAAAAATTTATTGCTCCTCCCCAACTTCTTCTACCTTGCAAAAGCTGTCTGTTCCAACAAGTGTTCTCTTGGGTTTCCCATGTCAACCTATTAGCCTTGACCGACAACGTCACAATAAGAACCCCCTCCGGTCTCCAGCAGTCTTTGGTTACCCCTTAATACCATTGCAAGCAGTCAGATTCCTATTAATTAAGGCCGAGGTTGAGGAACCGTTACCTTCTCAGTTGTGGCTACTGGTTTAATTGGTGAAGCTACGATCTTAGTATCAGATCAATACTATTATAAACCTAGTGTCTGCTAGTTAAGAGCGTCAGCTATGAGCTAAAAGTGAGGAAAATCCGGGAAAGGCGAAGAGATGGTGCAGGGGAATATTCAAGGATCTTTTGTTACTCACTTGTTCGTACACTTCTCAATAGCTCGGCTGCAGATCACCCGTCAATGAGGAGCTAAAGGGATGTCAGATATTCCATCTTGTTGGCCTCAGTATGAATAATAGAGGGCAACATTCTACCTTTCATAACCCAATTAAGAGAAGCAAAATATAAAAAAATAGGGTTCCCCGCCATCCAGTCCACCCGTCTTCGGTGTAGGAAGGGACGGACTACGACCCATGGTCCGCCTTTTTGGAGGTGATAGGACGGACAATGCCTGGAAGGGGGAAAACCGGGCGGACTGTAGTCCTAGCGCTTGGTCCTCCGATACTGGGCGAGTTGAAATTATGCACCTTCAAACGAATTATTATCTCATCGGGAGACATTGCACATACAGTCTCCTGCGGTATCTCACAGTTTCCTGGCCCCCTACAGTCCCCTGCGGTCAAACCCCCTGCCCTGAACGAACATGTCCTGCGTTTTGGGGCTCGCTATCAGGCTCAAGAACAGCTGTCCTGTATCTTTACCGCCCCGGACGGATTACGGATGCCATCCCATGCCGTCACCCATACGGCACCGCTGCCCCCCCCCCGGACGATTGGGAACACTGAGAAAAAGGGTCCAGCAAGACAGTTTGGGGGAACCAAACCGCTCGTAGGGAGACCCCGCACCGTCACAGTAAGGGCACAACTGGAGCTATTCACTATTCTAACGCTATTACATCATGTCTACCATTTTACATAACTTCCACGCTGTCCCTTCCAAAACCTTACAACGTCTACTACCGCAATCACATCACCAATACATAGTGCTCAGTTCTCACTTTCTCCATTGTCACTTGCCTGCGCACATTCTTTCCCTTTCTGGTGATTGTACCACGTTACCACAATTCTCACTATTCCCAAACGACCAGACATGTCTCCCTGATGAACACCTTGCCACAAACACTGTAGCTGGATCATCGGCATGCACCGGTGATTAACAATAGGTTCTGCTCCATCATGATCTGATCAAGAGGACCTCATGATTGAATGGTTGATGAGATAGGTAGATCCTGATTGACCGATTGATGATGGTCACTGCACTAAAATGTCGAGTATAGTCGATTTATTGAAATGATCAATCGTGCTCTGCTCTAGTAGTACTGGAGCATGATCTGATCATAATAATCACTAGTAGGTGGCAAAGATTTAGTTTCAAGTGGGATTCACTGACGATAAATGGAATATTCTAGAATAATAAAACAGGTCGCCAGCGGAGCTGCTGGTCTAGGACACGACGATGACGGCTTAGGAAAGAAAAGAGAAGAAAGGTAGACGATGTTAAAATAAGGATGGATGGAAATAATAAAATGGTCTTCGCAAGTATAAGAAGACCGCTTTCGATTTCCAAAAGGTTTGCGGTTGAGGATTCGATAGCAGGGTTGACGTCTGATGTCGGGAGCAAACGAACGGCTTTAAATACCGGTATTCATCGCTCCGGCCGGTAGGGTAATACTCTTCCCAATCTACTACCATACTTTCATCCACCTCCGACAATGCAAATATGCTTCAACAGTGCATGCAATTCGGACAATTTTTGACACAAGAAATCCGAAGTTTATGAAATTCTTTTTCCCATAACGAATTGGATTATTATTATTATTCTATGTTATTAAGCTTGTGGAGTTTGAACCACTGTGGAGCTAGCTGATTCTAGATATGGAAGCGAGTGCTCACTTGTCTGCCGGACGTTCCTTCTCCTACGTAGCTTACTAGCCTCTCAATATATACGAGTACCGAGGCTTACAGGAGCCTTACATCTTGAACCTTTCTCCATACTTTCAGCCTCTCTGTTTCCCTCAGATTCTTCTATTTCCTTTTCCTCATCTCTTCTATTATCCATCTCCCTTCCTTATTATCGTCTAGCTTCCTCCTCACCCTCCTGCATTGGCTGTTCTTAATCGTATACTTCACTTTCTCTTCGGATGCACGTTCAAGCCGTTGGACAGGCCTCTGGTATGTCGTAAAGGTATATATAATGCCTGGGGTCACTTCCTCCGCGCGGAATAAAAGAAGGGCAACAGTTGGGCTAATGGACCTGGTAGTTGAGAATTGCATGGTAGGATCAGACTCTGATATGTCCTTTCAAAATGCTCAAGTAGAAGAGAATAGGCCTTAGA